CGGGAGAGGGAGGGCTTAGCAACACCCCCAGTTCCGGAAAGAGCGCTCAGCCCGGCCACAGCCTTGCTGCGCACGAATGAGCACCCCAGCCACCTTCAGAACCTGGGTTCCCCTGCCTAAGGGCACCTGTGCTAATACCCACCTCGGGAGAGAGAAGGCTGTGCTAGTGCCCGTGACCAGCAGGTGCTCAGTGGCTCTTGCATTGAGGCCCTGGGGCAGGCACCTGGCATTTGATTTCTGGTTCTCACTCTACTCTTCTTACTATTAAAGCCACACTAGCCCATTCAGGAAAGAAGCCTTTGATGTCAGGTGGACCAAGGAGGACCCTGTGGGCCACCGGGGCACTTGGGGCTGCGCTGAAGATGAGCCACCTGGAAGGCTGCTGCTTCAGGCGCTGCTGGAGGCTACTAAACACCAGGCAGGTTTTCCCAGGAGCTGCTCAACCCGAGTCCGAGTGCGCTGATGTTCCCACGGATGGCCTTTGGCCCCTCCGTGTAAGGTACCCTCAAAAGGCTCCTGTACACCGATTTTTACTCCCTCTGCACGTGTTCACTCCCTTTCCTCTTCTCTCTTTCCATCTTGGCCTTTCCCCGGGCACTTTATACATCAACTCATTTAATTCTCCCTGATACCCTTTGGTGATATTATATCGGTTTTACAGAGGAGGACATGGAGGGCGGAGGAGGATCAGTGACATGTCCAGATACATGCGACTCAGAAGGTGAGATGGGACAGCCTGGCTCTGCTGACCCGACTCAGTGACTGGCCTCTGGTCAGATGGCTAAACCGCTGTTCAAGGAAATTGCTGCAGCCTCAGCAGCCATCCTGCATGAAGAAGCGACGGATACGGCGGACTTGGTAAACTACAGAGAAAAAAAAGGGGAAATCCACTTTCAGCTCCCAGGTCCACAGTCAGTACTCAGTACATGTCCATCTAAAGTTCACATATCTCACTTTTAGGAACTTTCACTACAGAAATGCTCACCCAAGGGTCCAATGGAAGATGCACACGGATGTTTGTGGGAGCACCATCGCAGGAGCAGAAAACGGGAGATAATGCATGTGGAAGGGGAGCACTGACACTCCTTGATGTTTCCCTCCTAATGGAGAACAGCCATGAGTATAACCCTCCTGCCTCTCTCTACCCATCTCATTAATCCCCCTCCTCCCAACACACACACACACACACACACACACACACACACACACACGTGTGAGGCCAGCTTTACATGACTGATGCATTTGGGATAAGGACTGGCATGAAGTTCTGCCCCCAGATCTCGCCTTCCTTTGACAGCACTCCGACCTGCAGAGAGCCCATAGCTGAGTTGCCCTGGGCCAGGCTGTCCTTGGTGGCCAAGACTCTGGCTGTGTTGATCCAATAACATCAGTGACTTGGTGGTGGTCTATCTGATTCTGGGGTTCACTTGCCCACGACTGTCAACCACATTCTCCAAGGCCAACATCATTGCTAATAAAAGTGATGTTTGGTCCCGTCTGTCTTCATCTAAATTCTCAATTGGTTTGACAGTTAGACTGGAAAGAAAACTGTTACTCCAACACCCTAAATGTGCATCAGAAAGTGCATGAGGTACGGATTTGCAATTTTTACTGTATAGACTTCTCTGATGCTCAAATATTTTCTGTAACCACTGGATGTATCTGTTTTTTTTCATGGAAAGAGATAAAAAGAAAACAACACAAAAATGCAATTAGTGTGCTATACCAGAACCTCAT